CCCAAAAAAAAATACTAAACCAACAAAAAAAAAACCCTAATTGACTTAAAACTACATACCGAAGACCTCCAGAAGAAAATTAGAATTTGTCTTTTCGTTGAAAAAAGACGCGTGCAAAGCCGCTTTGAGTGTCCATAAAATGTATGAATACACACACAAATCGGACCATGCGCTCAGAAAAACCTCAAGCTCTCTCTTTAATTTAAAAGGGCCGATTCCAGTTCCATCTTTTCGTGCAACTGACGTGTTCGCTTCCGGCCCTTAATCGCGACAAAAGAATACCCCTCAAACAAGCACTTTGAACACTTACCAGCTGGAATCCCTAGAAGGGTCTGTGTTCGGGAAAAGTTTCTTTTTATTTTTTTAGTTAATTTTTATTTTGTATATTTTACAAAAGCGTTTTTAATTGAGACTGCAATTTCTTATCTCCCGGCCACAGTCCAGACGCCCAAGAATAATTTATAGTAACGTTAGTCGTTTCTTTGTGTGATTGTACACAGGTTCAGTCCGACTAGGTCTTTCTTCGCTTGTCGAGGTCAACGGATGTGGAATGATATCCATTTCAGTGTATTTAACCTAAACCTCCTGGCTGAGTCCTTTGACCCACTTTTCTGAACATAATCATGTTAATGGAAGGTCTGGGGGAATTTTACAGGGGCGGAGACTACTACTGTAACTAAATTGGATGCTTCCGCGCACAGACTATGGGTGCTAGTGTTCTAAATTGTGTTAGTAGACTCATTTTGGGTGGTCCCTTAACCTTCGACAAAAACCTAATGTCATTGTGTAGATGATAATGGTAATATATTATTTTATCATGAAAACATTATAGAAAGTTTACCGAAATATTGTCTAAGCGGGTTAAACTATGACACAACGATGATTTAGATATCAAAATCAGAACATTGACAAAGTGCAGAATGGCATTACTTTTGTTCATAATTGCCTCATTATTCTTCTTTAGTAGAAACCCAAAGGCTCAGTAGATGTAGGATTGGGAATGGGGGTGAAGATTGAATTACATGGAGGTTCAATTAGAAAACATTAGACTAATTATAATTTAGTGATCACAATGAAAATGTCCACAATAATGCAATTCAAAAGATCAATGATTACCATTTTCTATCGTTGGGGGGGGGGGTATTGTTTTTTTAAAGTGAGAAAAAAAGGCTGGGGGAGGGGCAGGATGGAAAGGGTAGGAATGTCGATTTTCTCTCTGTTTTCGACTCAAACGTTATGCAGGGTTATTTTTCAATTACATGTATGTTTTTAGTTGTGTTTTTTTTTCTTATTTTTTTTAAAGTTGAAAAACATCAAAATACGTGTTTCCTTAATAACAAAGGCTTGTTGGAAATTAAAATACAAACAATACTTTTGAAATTCAAAATGACTTTATTTGGGGTCACCTCTGGCTTGAAAAAAATTTAGACAAATGTTGGAAATCAAAATACAGCGAAGGATTTGGGAGTTACCGTTGACAACAAACTGGACTAGCATCTCCACACTTTTCTAATGTATATTTAAAAAAATACTACATTTTTTCTGAGGATGCTTATGCATTTTAAAGTTGATAAATTATGACGTCCATATTCTAACATCCAACAATGGAAAGTTTGATTAATTTCTGTTTGACAGCATGGGCTGGGAACGTAAGACATCAAGATAACGTATAATGGAATCGACTAATACGGAGAGAGCGCAAAATTTCAACATCTAGGCTACATTTCCTTACCTCGATGAATTATATATATTCGCTTGCACAAGAGAAATCAATATCATCTTTTTGAACCACCAACATCCACTGTTCCCTCAAATAAAAATATAAGAAAGAAGAATTAAGATGATCTGTAACAAACAAAGACACAGAAGGTCATTTTTACAATTACCTATTAAACTTCTGCCATCTTAATTAATCGTCTTATAATAAGTCTCCATATGAACTAGAGTGCAATATTAGAACACCACAAGTTACGATCAGAATACTTGCCACGTATCTTACTCAATTAAAAATCATTGTTTATTTACATATATATAGATGTTGTTATCGATCCAGGACATGTATAGAATGCATGTGACTTTGAGCCTGTAAGTGAGAGGCAAGCATACTACTGCATTATTATGGTTACTTGAACAGTTGTGTGTGGAGGAGAGGATGCGTGTGTGTGTGTGTGTGTGTGTGTGTGTGTGTGTGTGTGTGTGTGTGTGTGTGTGTGCATGTATGGGTGTGTGTTTGTGGGTGAATGTGGATGGGTGAGTGTTGTGAAAGCATGTGTGTATACATGTGTATGTATGTATGTATTTTTGAGTGTGCATGCATGTGTATGTGTGTGGTTTTCGTGTGTATGTATGTGTATGTATTGATGTGCATCTGTGTGTATATGTACTCATATGTGTGTGTTTGTGTGTATGCACGTGTATGAGTATGTGTGTGTGTGTGTGTGTGTGTGTGTGTGTGTG